CTAAAAAAAATACAATGAATTAAAAATAAAATTAAATCGGCTGGATTATGTGATGATTGTCTTCCGTTATCGTATTATTATCAAAAACTTAATTTAGATAGATTTGAAATCAAACAAAATCGAAATACAATTGCATCGATTGTCGCCGGATCATTGGTGTGCAAAAGATTTTTTTTTCGCTTTAAATTTTTCAGTTTAATATTACTTTTAGTTTACTATTGGTTGGTGGTTAATTATTGATGTTTGTATACGTTATCCATCAAATGACCAATTTCATAAGGCACTTCTTACTATTGGAATAATTGCATCGCTTGCTTTGATCTTGTAAATTTTTCCTTATTTTTTTTTAGTTTATTATTAATTCTAACACTTTTATTTTTTAGTGTCAACTCTATATCAAATTCACGCTTTCATGGTGATTATTATCGCGATGGATGTATTGGTTTAACACTAGCACGAGTTATACTTTTTCTCTCATTTTTATTCGTATTCGGCAGTGTAATTGCTGGTGCATGGCTTATGATAGCGTTATATATGATTCCAAATGCCAAGGATATATATCCAGGTGTAGCACTTTTTATTCAAACTTTACTTATTTTTGCCAGGTAATTTTATTAATCATCAAATATAAAGAACAAATAATTCTTTTTTTTGCTTCTAGTACACTTATACTGAAATTTGGTCGAACGGAAGATGATTAATTTTATCTCGAACTGTATAAACTTTCATTGTAGTTGATCTGATTCACTTTACCTATTGTCTTGACAAATAAATAATGTGCATTTTTTTTTGTATTCATTTTCTTTCGTGATGCATTTATAAATAAAACGAGAATACTCTTCAACAAAGTCAATCCAGGTATATTAAATTTATAAGAAGATTTAATAATTTCTTTTTCATCATCATCTATAGTACAGTAGCGTGATTGCTATTCAATTCTTTCCCATCATAAATGTTTTGTAATCAGCTGTGATTAAAAAATTACTTGTCCTTTTTTTCGAGATTTGAACTAAAACTATTCTTTTGTATTGATTAAATGATATGCGACAGTATTGAACAGAAAACATATCTTATAAAATATTCAAATCAAATTGATTAAACAATCAGTAAATATGACAATATCCAGAAGAAAGATGTAGTGACATTCACTTGTTACCATTTTAATAAACGATCAAATAAAACCAGATATAATTCAATAGTCTTAATCATTTTCTTTTTCAATATTTCAAGTAGAGAAATTCATTTGGATTGCATTAGTAAATATATGTGTTCTCTTACTGAAATTATAATATTATCTGAGATTATCTTTTTCTTTTCTAAGATTAAAATATGAAACGCTACTTAAATCCGTTTAATATGCTCATAAAAAATGTTCTGAAAGATTAATTTGCTTGTTTTTCATAAACTTGAATAATCAAAGGAAATATTTTTAAAACTAGTCTTTATTCCATTAATAGCATTTACTATCATACAATATTACTTTTTTTTAATTTCAATAGGAATGAAAAACTAAATTTTGTATTAATTCACTAAATGCAATAAAAGTAGGACAAAAATTTGTCGACGTCCTTTTTCTATGAAATGATTTTTAAATGAACTATATATCTTTATTAAATAATTGTATGTCACAGTTACACATAACGACATGAGATAGAACAGATCAGACTTTCTTTCTTTTTTGTCTTCTTTCTTTTTTCCTTTCTTTTTTTTTCTTCTCTTTTGCCGTTTCTATCATCACACTAGTGACTGTTTCCGGTCATAGACATTTTTTTTGTTCGTTCGTTTGGCCTAACATCCTTTTTAACTGAAAAGGAAAAAAAATGATGAAGAAAAAATGACGAGAAAAAAAAATTATAATGTAGAAATAGTTTTCTTCTCCATTTGATTTAGTTCAATCAAATATTGAGAACTATATATTAACCACCTATGGATGAAAACTTCTTACGACATTGTTATGTCATACGAAATTCTGAACAACAACAGCAGCAGCAACATAATCATCGATATACACGTTTTGATGATCATCGTTCATTTACAGAACAACAATCACAACAACAATTAACATTGACACCTCCTGTCGACAAATATCATCTTGTCTATTTTGGACTATTTTGTTGTGGAATTGGTTTTTTATTACCTTATTCAATCTATATAACATGTGTTGATTATTTTCATACACAATTTCCACAAACAGCAATTATATTTCATTTAAATTTTATTTATATTATTTTGGCATTTAGTACAGTTTTATTTAGTAATATTATTGCAAATGTTCTATCAGTTAAACGTCGTGTGATATTTGGTTATTGCCTTACATTAATTATACTTATGTTTATTACTATTTTTTGTGTTGGCTTAGAAATGTTTCCACAAAATTTATCCTATACTATTTTTCTATTATCTGTTGCTATACTCGCAATTGGATGTACATGTAAGATTTTTTTTCTTCTTTTTTCTTGAAATAATATACATATATATATGAATTTTGATTAGTACAACAATCAAGTTTTTATGGATTAACAAGTATGTTACCATTTCGATATACACAAGCTGTAATGACTGGTGAAAGTGAGTATTTCATATCTTTTTAATTTACTAATGAGTTTTCATTTTCAAGGTTTCGCTGGTCTACTTGCGTCTTGGTAAGAATGAATTTTTTTTAGTTAATAATATATACATATATAGGATTCATTATTTATATATTTTAGTGCTCGGATTAGTACAAATTTATTTATGCCAAATGATAGTCATTTGAGCACAATATTATTTTTTTCACTTGGCCTTTTATTTGTTCAATTTTGTTTTATATTTTATCTTATGATTCAACGTTCAACATTTATTGAATATTATGTTCGTCAATGTGAAAATGCAAAACGAAATGAAGATATTGAATTTCAAATTCGATGTCATGCAGCATCGATTAATTCGAAACAAACGATAATTGATGAATCTGTATGTTACTTTTAATTTATAGATAAGATTTATTTCTGTAATATTTTCAAAGGAAGAAACTCTTGAATCAAATACATCAACTATTCGAGATCCTCATTTTGGGATATTAACTATGGATACATTTGATGATCAACAACAGCCAATTATTCCAACAAATTATGAATATTCTTTAAAACTATGGTTTCGAATTAAACGTATGATATATTGTTTGAATTACTTAAAAAAATAGTTTATTGATTTTACACATAGGTGAATGGTATCGTCGAGTTGATTGCATGAGAACAATATGGCCTTATATGATTTGTATAGCATTTACGTATTTTGTAACTTTATCGTTATTCCCTGGTGTTGAATCTGAAATGATTAATTGTCAATGGCGTGAATCGTTACCAATTATTTTAATGGCTTTATTCAATATATTTGACGTTTTTGGTAAAATATTTGCACTTGCAACTCATCATATATTGTCGCCAATGAAATTATTGCTCTGTAGTCTTTTACGTTTTATTTATATACCATTGATGATTCTATGTATTTTACCTAAACGTTCACCATTGTTATCAAATATATTTTGGCAATTTTTTCTATCAAGTACACTTGGTTTAACAAATGGGTATTTCGGTAGTGTACCAATGATTCGTGCACCAGTAACAATTATTGAAGAACGAAAAGAATTAACAGGAAATTTAATGATGTTTTCTTATTCCGTTGGATTAACACTTGGAAGTCTTTTATCTTATTTACTTGATGCAATCATCGGTCAAAGTACTGGCGTTGACTGGTGTCAACCAGTATCACTACTCAATCAAACGATATGGACTACCATTAATAATACTACTAATAATAATGACAACAGCTCTTGATACTTCGAGTAATCTATCATCATTTTGAGCAACAACAACAAATGTTATAGCAACTATAACTAATGAAGACTTTATTTTATCGATATTTTCTCATATATATATACACACACATATCTACTCTTTCCTTCTCATAAATATATACTTATCTTTTCACAAGTCGATCAACCCATATATTCTTTAAAATATGTTAAAGAAATTTTCTTGGTTCGGTATGTAAAATAAATAGATTATCATGAACAATAATACCCTTTCTTTCTTATTAACATTTAGTTCTTCTTATCATATTAGTTGGTTATCAAATGGCACCATTATCTGATGATGATGATAATAACAATAATTATTATGGATTAAATAATCGATTACAATCGCTTAATTCTGAACAATTAGCTGAATTGAGTGAATATTTTGCACTTCAAGCTAAAGAAGATCCAACATCTGACAATGTAGATCGTAATTCAGATGAAAGATCTATGACTAAACGTGATGCTTTATGGACAACAACAGAAGTTCTCGATTGTATTCGACGTGTAAAATTATACAAGAACAGTTCAAAACTTGATCTTGTCACAGAAATGCTCAATTGTTATCGACGTTTGAAACATGCTGGTTAAAACAAAAACATTTCTATAATTATTGCGAAGATTGAAATAAATAAAATCCTACATTACATACATATATTTAAAAAATACAAATATCTTATTATGAATTTCAATGATTCATTCACTTTTTTTCTCATTATTACTGAAAATATTTGAATAACTGAAAGTTTATTGTTTAGATTTTAACATTGTAGATATGTTATTATGTATTAAAAGATCTTAATTAACAAGATGTCATCAATAATTCGCGCATTTTTTAATATTGAAAAGATAGTAGTGCAATAGCGTGTTAATTGATTAGAACAATTTTTTAAGATGAAAAAATATCTATCTATGGTTAACAATCATTCTAAACATTCACGACGATTCAAATACAATCGAAAGCAATATTTATATGATGAGAATGAAAATAGTGATAAATATTTATCACTTGATATGTTAACAACAATATCAACAATGACAAAATCTAAAAGCAGTGCTCAGTTTTATTGAAAGCAATTACTTATAGGAATTCCTATACTCATTTAGACACCGAAATACTTGTTGGTATTCAACAAAAATCTTCAACAATCATCGATTGGCTTCCAATTTTATCTATAATCTTAGCTGTTATTATTTGTCTCATTGCTTTCATTGTTTTATGTAAACAACAAATGTATGTAATGATCATAAGATTTCTATGAATTATATATGTATTATCTAGAGATCATCGTCATTATATTTATTCTCAAATAAGACAACGACGACGATCAGATAATCGAAATAAAAATAATAATCAAATGTCTTTGGATGAAATTGATGTCGCTGAATGTATCGATAGTGATATGGAATTTATACCAGGACTTAATATATTATTGGCTAAAGGTGATATAATACTTGATGATAATGATGCTGAAATGGTTAGTTATAATTACTTGGACAAATTAATTAAAATAACATATGATTTCTGTTTCAGCTTAATTCAATGAGTACATTTGATCGTCTTCAATATTTTCAAACACTTCTTAATCATGTTAAATAACAAAATAAACTTTGTAAAATATTTCTTATATAGTTATCAAAAAGAAAAGAATACATTGATCTTCATTGTTTTTTTTATCTTCATTTCATGTCAATCAATATTTGACAAAGAGATAAAAGTGTGTATTATAATCGTGGTTTCTCCCACTGCTAGATATTTTGCGAGGGTGAAAGATCGAATTAAAACGAAAAAAACGAATATACGTCATTGTCTCTCAAAGGTCGGATTAATTTCTTTGTCTAGTTAATCGTTTTGTTAATAATCAAATACATATATATATATAAGTAAAAGAATAGAAGTGAAAGTTCGTTAGTTACTTACTCAAAAACAGTTTTTATTCATATATACAATCATGATTGGTTTAATTCTTATCGTCTTAACTGTTATCTCATCTGTTGAATCAATGGCTTTGAATATTACAGGAAAAAGTTTGTTATCTAGTTGTTATTATTATTAAGTGATATAATCTTTAAAATTTAGATCAACAACAATGTTGTGGAACGTGCTTTATATTTGGTTGTCCAGCTGGTCAATGTTGTTCACAATATGGATAGTAATGAATTTTAATATACATTTTTTATTTAATATATATTTGATATGTTTAGTTGTGGTGCAACACCTGAACATTGTCAAGGAGCAATAGTACAAGGGGATTGTCAAATAAAAGGATGTCCGAATGGATTATGTTGTTCAAAATTTGGATTTTGTGGAAATACACCTGAACATTGTGATAATACACCAGTAACGAATGGAAATTGTAAAACTCAAGGTTGTCCACCAGGTCATTGTTGTAGTGCTCATGGATTGTGAGGAAATGAAATTATATATTAGATAATCTATATTATTATTTATATATTGTAGTTGTGGTACAACATCTGAACATTGTAATAACATTGATCTAACTGTTGGACAAGGAAATTGTCAAGTGACAGGATGTCCAGCTGGTCTTTGTTGTTCAAGATTTGGATAGTATGTATATGCTATTGTTTGAACATATAAAAACAAAAATTTGTACCCTTTCTATAATAGCTGCGGTGGAACTCCTCAGCATTGCTTAGGAACAAACGCCGGCTTGGTAGGATGTCCAAATTGTGCTGGCAATGTCGTCAGCAACTGTGCCAATGGTGGATGTGCCGGCAATGTTATCAGCAACTGTGCTACGGGTGGATGTATTGGCAAAAAATAAATATTCCTTTTTGTATTATCGATTATTTTAAATATATAATCAAGAAAGAACTTCTTTTTTTATAAAATAAAATTTTGAGTATTTTTATATTAATTCGATTGTCATGAATTAGTAATTATAAAAAGAATTTTTTGCTTGATTATTCTGAATTAGACATGAAAGAAATTATGACCTTTTTGTCATTGCTCGTAACATTTATAATGAATTAAATTGTTATAATCAGTCTATATAAAAGTAATTGTTATGATATTAGTACATAAAAGAAAAACCCACTTTTATATTTAAGAGTTAATGTATAAAATCTGATAAATACTCATATATATATGGTACTATATGAAACTGATAAGCATATTTGATATGCGTAATTGAATCCAAATATCACAATAATCTTGTCATACATACCACATGAACTTCAATCTCTTATAAATGCCGATATATATATGTGCGCATGTCGTATACGCATTCTAATGTCAATAGACAAAGTAAAAAAATCTTTTCTTCATTTTTTTTTATCAAATATATAAGGTAGATATTTAATTCCTCGTCTCCTATCATTTTTCTTTTTACAGGCACACACGTGTATTATTCAAAAAAAAAAGAATATGGCTCTTGAATCAGTGATTCCTGGTTTAGCTATAACTGGATGTGTTTTCTGTGGTATTATTGCTGTCATACATATCTATATATTTATTTTGGAATCAATACTTTGGCGAAAACGAGCAGCTAAATCATTTAAATTATCACAAGCAGTTGTTGATGCTAGTGCTGGTTTAGCTGCTAATCAAGGTTTTTACAATCTTCTACTTGCTGCTGGTCTTATTTGGGGTTTAGCAGAATTAAATGCTAGTACAATGTTATTCTTTTTAGCAGCAGTATTTACTGCTGGTATTTTTGGTGTAATTACATCATCACCTCGTATATTAATTGTACAAGTTATACCTGCGTTACTCGGTTTTATTTTTGTTGCTTTTGGTTTTTTTCCAACGAAGGATTGGTCTTATTGGAGACATCCATTATATTTAGTATTAATTTTAATTGGTGCTGGTCTTGTAACAGCAATTTTAAGTTTTATTATAAAAAAAAAATTTCTGGATACTATTCCGAAAGTGTCTTCGAGATTAGCACCAGCTAACGATGACATACACTTCTGAGTAAATATCCTACTTAATGAATAAAAAGACTTTTTTTTTTGTACAATAAGAAATAAATCGACTTCTAATCTTCTTTAAAGGTAATTGTCTATTGAATTTATTGATTAATGTAATTATGTTTGTGACTCTACAGGATGTCATGATTTTTATAGAAATTTCATTTGTTTTTTAACTTTTATTTTCAGTCTAGTTAAGATTCATAAAAAAAAGGTCATTTACATGGTAGACATACAAGAAAAAAAGAAAGGAAGAGGTGTTAACTCCTAGTAAATATATTGTGCATGAATAGCTTACGTTTCCTATGAAACGGTCAAAGAAAAAAAAAATGAAATGTACAATGCGTATGATATGAACAAACAAAAGAATTGTTAGCAATCAAGTCGTTCTTTTTTCGGGCTTGTTTATTTACCCATATTGGCTCCACCTGGTGCATGTCCTCCTGTACCAACAGAATGTCCACCATGAGCATTTTCATGTCCTAATTGTCGACCACGTTCAGCAGGATCAGGATTCATACCTGGATGTAATTGTTCTTCGCTGCAATTAGATGCATCTGATGCATGTTTTCCACCGACGGGTTGATTACCGCCTGTTAAAATATATAATATATATCAATTAATAAAATTATTTATTTCAAATTATAAAACTACATACCAGAATGGCCAACACCACCATGTCCACCTGTGCCAACGGATTGACCACCTTGAGCATTTTCATGACCGAGTTGTTTACCGCGTTCAGCTGGATCAGGATCCATACCTGGATGAGATGGATCTTCTGGTTTCTTATCATTAGATTGTTTGTCTCCGAGTTGATGTGCTCCTTCAGACATATTGATAATATTTAAAGTATTGTATGTAAAAACGAGTAGTTGTAGTAAAAGTAACGATGAATGAATCTGAAATGAAAAAAGTACTGCTATTTATAGGAATAACTTTTTCTTTCTGTGATGGTTGTTCTAGAAGGAATAGAATAGAATAGAATAGTATTGTTGAGTGTACTCATTCTCCTCTGCTGTTGCTCTTATCGTGAGTATGTTTAAAAAAAGAAATTTACGATTCTTCATTTCTTATTGGTCGCGTGGAAAAGCGACGTGAAACACGTGAATATTACAATGGCATGTAATCGACGTTTAAAAGAATCCAACCGTTTCATTCTAAAAGCTCAAGGCGTATGCAGAAGTAGTTTGTGATCAGATTAATCATTGAAACTCTTACATATACGCTATTAAATGATTTTTTCTAAAAATAATATTTAACTTACTACGTTCTTTATATCTCAATCTATAACAAGCATGGAGAGTAAAAGAGTGCAAATAATTATTTAAAGCGAACTAATTAGATAAAGTTGAAGAATAATTGAAACAAGGCTTAATTAAATAGAAATATAAAAGAGCAACGTCTAAACACTTGTGACTGCTCGATGAATATCATACTACACAATTCATCATTATCTAGTACATATAAGTGTCTAAAAACAAAGACGAGACATATGTCTAAGTTATATATAAACTAGACAATAGACAGATTCACTGTCTTATGCGACGTATAGCGCTTTCTACAGTGTGTGCCTCTACAATAGTTTCCATGGTTCCCTCAAATGATTGAACTTCTTTAACCAATGACCACAAATGGTCAATGTCTATTATCGCTGTGAGATACATTTTACAGAATAAGAGCAACGGCATGAACTTTTTTTTTCTTCTCATTTTACCATGGTTACGAACAATGATTTCAAAAGAAGAATACATTGTATGCAAAGAAAATGTAAAAAGGTGTGTCCGTTACAATAGTAACGAGTGCATAGAGTAGAATCAATAGTTTTCATCTGAATCATACAAAATACAATAGAAAAAAATTTAAATTCGTAATAAGTATTAACAAAATGCGCTTATTTTAATATTTATGATTTGTTAATAAAATCACATGATAAAACGAATATGACGTTTGAATTTTAATGTATGTTATTCAGTGTAAATAAAAGATGCAAAAATGTTAACTATGCAATAAATATTTAAACATAATTCATATAATATGAATAAATATAATTTTAAACTTTTATAATTATAGCATTAAACACATGCTCATAATGGTTTTGATTTTAGACGATAAGAATATTCAAGGATTTTTATATAATAAAATTTATATTATCATTGAGAATTGTTTTCGTTTTTGATAATAAGATTCTTAATCTTTGACGAAGAAGTTTTTCGGGACCATTAAAATTTATGATCTGCAATTAATAGTATATCTGTATTCTTCCTATTGAAAATATATGATCCTAATAAAATTTATATTAGGAAAAAAAAGCGCAGAGTATTTTTTTTTCTTAACTTGGAATTGAAATGCCGAATAATTATCTTTAATTTATGTGGAATATAAATACTATATCTGATTTATATCAAATTGCAAATAATATAACAATTAATAATGGAACGATTCCTAAACGAAATTCATCATCTAATAATATTATGATTATTCTATTTTTTAGTTTTATTTCTTTTATTATTTTAATATGTCTGATGAATTTATTTATACAAAAATATCGAAAACAAAATAACCTAAATTCAATACAAAAGACAAAACAAATAATAGAAACATCTCATCAACCTGATTCTATTAAATGATATTTGTATTATAGTCATTTTTAACTGTTTATATACCCCAAAAAACGTTATAGACTTCGAAGTTCTGTTGGTGTAGCGGTTATCACATCTGCTTAACACGCAGAAGGTCGCAGGTTCGACACCTGCACAGAACATTCTCTTTTTTTTCCCGTTCTGCGCTCGACGCTGCTTGTAAATATAATACTCTTCTATACGACGTCCTGTTTTTTTTCATAAATCAAGTTTAATTAATTCTTTTTGTAGAGAAAAAAATTTGTTTGAAAAGATAAATAATTACACAATCTTTTTTTTGTCTAATAAAGTTAGAAATATACGAACATATTCTATTTGCTTTTTATAAATATTTAATACTATGCTCTATTTTTATGAAAAACATCCAAACAGAACAATCAAAATTAATACAATGCTTTTATATAGCTCGTCTTTTATTTTGAAGAGGAAACTGTTCATCAATATTCTTGTCGACTATAGACATTTATATAAATGAACGGATGCTCATTTTTCCTTCATCAATTCCTTTTCAACGTTTACGCATGATAATGATATGATAGCTACTTAGTACTAAGTATGTTCGGTTGAAGAGAATTTTCAATTATATTTATGTGACCTGGAATAGACAGGAAAATCTCAAAGAATTTATTAGGTAGTTTGTTTTTTATTCAATATGGTATTTATAATATCTAGATTAATAAAATCCATTTTACTTACATTTATTTTCCTGACATTTTACATCTACTTGACTTATACTTACGGCAGATTATATTTTGCAATTACAAGCTTGTGTCTATTCCATAAATATTTTTTACGCTCGTCAGATTTCATCTTCGGTATAATTATTAAATTTTAATTTTATTTTAAAGTAAGTTTTCAAGTGAAAATATGTCATTCCTGTTGATTACCTCTTTTTTGTACAATGATAAAAATTTTCACATAAAAATAACTTTTTTTTTATAATAATATTGACTAGTACTTAGACCTTTGACACTTTCATATTGAAAAAAAAATAATTCTTTCCAATGAATCTATATATACATGTCATTTATAGGTTAGAGACTATCGAGAATGGTGAACATTAAGAATATAAATAGTTTTTTTTCTTCTATCTGCCATTCTTTTAACTATTTCAATATTGATAAATGAAGATTCATATTATTGATTATAGTTATTATTTTTGAAGAATACTAGTATTATTTTATTTTCTTTCCCTTCAATAATTCTTTTAATGAACTACCATTGACGTTAATAAAATATTCTGAAGAAATCTTTTTTTTTTCTCTTTTTCTTTTTTCATGTCATATTTTTAATTATCAATTGGTTTCTTCATCTTCTTTTTTTATACTATCTACTTAGAAAAAGGTACATTAGATAGTGATGTCTTCATTTTCATAATTGCATTGCCACCCACTTAGCTTAGTTTATGTCTACATTCTTTTTGATGTGCATTTCTTTAGACAGTTATTTATGCAGATAAATAATTTTTCGTATATTTTTCTTTGCTAAGAACGTCATTTAGTATAGCAACAAAAGCGAGATTTTCGTTTGTCTTTATACATTTAATAATATCGCCTAGATGAAAATATATTATAGATATATAAAATCAGTATTTTATCCAAAGTATATGCAGACATCAGAAAATATTCACATATAAGTAATTGTCATTCGTATCTTAATTCAATAAAATAATGTAAAGATAAATAAACATTATCACCCTATTTGCTTAGACCTCGAGTATAATTATTTACATTTTTGCGTTTAAAAAATATATTTTTATCTATCACTAATTAAAGTTTAAAATAATTTGCTCTATTATTTATTTCATGTGAGCTTTTATAACTAATAATTAGATAGCCGTGAGTTATAAGTATATTGTTTCGATACTGTTATATAAGAAGTTGTATAGAATATCCTGTTTATTAATCTATTGTGATATAATTTTATTTTGAATTTATCTTAAATATACGTGGGTGAAAATGCCTCAGTTTATTTCTGCTTTTAATTTCAATAGCTAAATTCCATATTATTAGTCTAGAATAATAAATAAAATAATGAAGAGAAAAAAAAAAGTTTATCGATAAGAATAGCATGCATGTCAACGGAAAAGAGAGAACATTTTTTTTTGATATTATGCTCTAATGAAAACGCATATTCTAATTTCTTTAGCATCTTTTGATATTTACCAAAAAAAAGAGAGATAGACAAGGAAAAAGAACGAGAATAACAGAAAGGAAGCTTGAGGACGCGCTGTATTATCTTTTGTCATCAGATTACTGTTAACTGAAAAAAGTAGGCTGTCGTGTCCGAAGGATCTGTCATCGCCAAGAAATATATAAAAAAAAGAAGAATTCTATGAGTTACAGTAGTTTGAAAATGAAAACAAAAATTTCGCACTACATTTATAAACATAGAATTAATCTTAACTTATTGTTATTGTGATATTCCCTTTAGAATAAGAAATTTATAATTTACCGATTCTTTCGATTCTATTAATTAGAAAACCCGTTCTTTTATAAGCTAGATATATAGAGATAATCTTGATACGTTTGCAAAATATCTTGCAGACTTGTTAACAACATTCTTAATCTATTATTGCACGAAATTAATTGACATGCCAACGTTCGCGTCGGTTCTGGACTTGAGAAATAATTAAGTAATATCGTTGATGTTTACTTGATTATTATAAAGGAAAATGGATAAGGATTTCTTTAATTATAACTATATACATAGAAGAGGAAAAGGCGTTGTAGTTCAATTCAATGTTGCTTAGATCACTATTCTTTTCCCTTTCTTTTTCTTCTTTTTTGACTATAGTTAGCGAATAAATGATATGATGATGATAAGAATGAAAGAGTCAGTAAAAAAGAATAGAAAGAAAAGAAAATCAATCAAAACACAAGACAATAACTGAAGTTAGTTGGTTGCTGTTTTTCTTCCTTCCTCTTCAATCACTCATGTTTGTCTTAATGTTGTAATTTGAAATTATGTTGCGTGACCAAGTGATCTAGTTTGCTAACTACAAATACCTACAAAGATGATGAAGATAAATAAGATATATTCTTTTTTTTTCTTCGTCATTTGTTGTTTCTTGCTAACTTTGTTTTTCTCCTTTTTTCTTGCCACTCCATAGTTAATAATCAACTTCTCGAAGATTACTAAGGAATTTTACTATGCACTCATCCATTTTTAGATGTGACCAAGTATAAAGAACAAGAAATATAGATATATATATATCTCATTATAAATATATTACAAAGACAAGTTTTATAAATTGATCTTCTTCTTTCTTATTTTTTGCTGCCTCCAACAAGAATGTCAGTTCCGTGGTCAACAATTGAAGTTGCATCTGTTTGTTTTTTTATTATTATAATTATCTTATTAACAGTTGGTGGTAATCTTGTTGTTCTCTTTGCTTTCTATACTGACCCACATCTATTAACACCATCGAATCATTTTCTTTTATCAATGGCTATTGCTGATTTACTTGTAGGTCTTATTGCAATGCCATTTCATTCGTAAGTTAACGAAAATAATTTACAAAAAATTCAATAATTGTTTTTTTCATTTGAAATAAATAGATTTGCTCAAATAAAAGGTTCATGGCCATTCGGTGAATTTTTTTGTAAAATATGGTTAACAATTGATGATGTTGCAACTATGGCTAGTGTTTTATCTATAGTAGCTATAACTATAGAACGTTTTTGGAGTATTAATCATAGTGTACATTATCGTCGTCATACAAACAAAACACGTATAAGAATATTTTCTGTATTCATTTGGCTTATACCATTTCTTAATTTTGCACCTGGTATTTGGCTTCTTAATTCTAATGAAGAAATTCCAGCAACAAATATAACTCGAAAAGCAGAATGTATTGGTGCCTATCATTCACATACTATATATTTAATAGTTGCTCAAATAAATTTTTTTGCATGGCCATTAGTTGTTATTATTATACTTAATGCTTTAATTGTTGTTAATCTATATCGACGATCACAACATTTTCCAACTTTTAGTCCTCCTGGACAACGAAAAAATAAGACATTAAGTGAAATTAAAGAAGAAAATATCGATGAAGATCAGGAACAACAAGATCAAATGATTGACAATGATGAAGTAACATTATCAATAATTAATGATAATAATTATCATATGTTAAAAAGAATGGATTTAGAGGTAAATAATTAATATATTTCTAAAAAAAATCTAATACGTCCTTAATTGAAAAACTATGTCTCATGAACGAGATTGATAAGAAATTATTCAGTCTATAATAAACATTAGATATTGTTGTTGACATCTAATCTGGATTGAGAAAATCATTTAGTCAAAAACTTTAATCTGAGATTGTTACTAAAAAAAAAGAGAATAAAGAAATAATGATGTTATTTATTTTTATATTTAATTAGTTTATATATACATCTAATAAATTATAGGGTAACAATGATGATCATTTTGTAAATATTCCACCACCTATAACAGAAGTCGATGAACAATTGAATGAAGATGATATTGTTAATTGTCAAACATTACAAAAAACAATTCCATCATCATCATCGACAGTCGATATAGACACAACACAATCAACATCAAAATTTTATACACGTATTAAAAAAGCTTTTTTTACATCATCAGAATCGACATCAGTTGATTATCATACATCAAAAGCAGCACAAACATTTCAAGTTCAGCCACAAAGAAATATGCAAAAACGTCGTTCAATATTTGCATGGCGTACGAGTTCAATTAATTTATCACCAACAAAAATTAATAATACAGTTACGGGTGAACAACGTACTGTTCGACGTTTAAGACGAGATAAACGTGCAGCAACATCACTTCTTATACTTGTTCTTGTATTTATGATATTTCTATTACCTTATGTTGTTGTTGTTGTTGCCGGTAATATTTCTTCATTAGAAATCTTAAAAGATACAAGTGGACAATTATATTCAGCTGTTTTTTGGCTTTTATGGCTCAATTCAACTGTCAATCCAATTCTCTATCCATTTATTCAACCAAAATTCCGTGATGCATATAGAAGAATCTTTCTAAGAATAACAAGACGACGACGCCGACTAGTTTCTCTTATTGCAGACATGCAACGAGCTAAATAGCTTAATTTATATTTCCATTGAAAATAATAACAATTGAATTAGATTGAAATTATTATGTGTATACACATTGTTCAACTTCATTCAAGTATCTATATATAAATAACTTAATTTTTTTTTATTTTGGTAAAATCAGATTTAATAAAAATTAGATTTATTTTTGTTTTGTAGAAATGTAAAAAACTATATTTAATATTTTGTTTTACTTAATAATAAAATAAATAATTGACAATATTGATTATTATACTTCATATTTTAATCAATATTTATTTGGAAAATAAGAAAAGTTTGTATTTACTATTAATGTATTGGTTTATTTGTATTGATTAAACTTATAGTTATATAAATAGATCGATTTCAGCTGTTTTTTTAAGATAAAGAACAAAGACGGCACTGTAAATACTAATTATAATAGTTTATGATATTGATTAAAGGAATAAATCTTGAGTGAATGATCGTTTTTGAAAATGAGTACGTTTATTTACGATAAATGCGTTCAAAAAATAACACGATACAAAAACACACACACACTATTATTAATTGTTAAATAAAAGCAAAACACAAAAAAAAAAAGAAAGATCTATAACACTAATCAAAGGAATAAAAAGAAGATATTTGTTAAAATGTATAAGGTAAAGAATTGTCATTTAGTAGAATTCTATTTAACTCGTTTGGTACGTTCTTCTGCTGGTGTTCTACAACCCAATAAATAACATGCAACACTTAGAAGAGCAATAACAAGAAAGAAAGCTAAAATATTCAAATAGTAAATATACATAGGTTTTTTTTGTTGCTGTTTAACAATTTACCTGAAATTAGAAATTGAATGACAGCCCAAACTGGAAAAAATCCGTTGAGTAAAGCATCAGGATCTGTACGTCCAAAATGATCACGTGTTAATGAAATTAATTCATCTTTTGTTACTTCTACACCGTGAAGATCAACAGAATAGACTAAAAAACAGATAAATATAATTAAGTAAATAACTATGAATATAAACAAAATAGTTTACTAACCAGTTGTTATGACTGTTGCATAGACTAGAAAAAGTCCAGCTAAAGTTGCAATAAATGAATTCATCGTAGTATTAACTTATAGAAGAAGAAACTTGATCTAAAATAGATAAAACGATGTGTAGCAAAATCAGAAGTAAATTTCATAGAAAGTAATATTCATAACGTTACAGTCGAGAGAAAAATATTATTCTTTTTTTTTTTTAGTTGACTCTGACGATCGTCGTTTACATTGACGGTAAGCAATTGATTCAAGCGTATAGACGAACGCAAAAAAAACCTCGGAAAAAAAATCTGATATACATTATAATGAGTATAAATCGATGCGAAAAAGACGAAGAATATTTTTCTTTTCTTAATAAAGAAGAGAACGGGCAAAAAAAAATTTGGCCGATCAAAAGGTATATGCATGAACGTGTTTTGTCATATTCGTAGAGGACACAAAGATATGCATAGATATCAAAATGTTACAATAAATAGACAAATGATAAGCAAAGTAGTAATTGAGCATTGAGTATAGAATTATTATAGAAAACACTATTAGATACAGAAATTAGTATTTGATACAAACATTCCTATTTATGCGGCAAGGAAAGAAAAAAGGAAAAAAAACGCGGAAGATGACTCTAGTAACCCAGAATGAATTTGTAATTGGTAATTATCATTTGCCATACGTAGTTATTTTTCATAGATGGTGCGCGTTAAAAAATTCATTGAGTAGTTTTATGAATGAACTCAAGATACTTGATAAAATTTAGCGAAAAGATTCTATTGATCTTCAATCTTTACGCCACAATGACTACATATAATGGTACAGATAAATGTTAGACTGAAGTATCATTAAGATTTGTTCCGGTTCCGATGTTTTATAAATCTACTTTAGCGTTTACATATTTGTATAAATTTCAGTTTGATATCGTACTGTAGATATGAGAGAAGTGTAGCGTCAGTCTTATTGATTCTATTCAATATAGATTTTCCTATGCAATTTATGTCATTTTTATCCCAATCATTTCATATAATTAACTGTTTTATTTTCGATATTTATACTTGTATTTTAATCTAATCAACTTTTTATTCAGTTTCGTATTGACACGATGAGTTTATCTAAATAATGTCAATGATATGGACATTAAAAATCCTTTTTAATTAAATATTTCAAACACCGGACAATAAAAAAAAGCGTAAAAGCAATTAAAATAAAGCTAAAAACCAATATATGTAGCGAAAATTATCTACAAGTTGTCGTTTATTCATTGTTTGCGTATATATGAATGTTTCATTCAAATAAAATCGAAAGTTATCAACCTAGGAAAAAAAATACAATACAAATAAATAAATTATCAATAAAATATGAAAATTAATAGATATTAACAATAATTAAAACACAAATAGATTAGCAAAGCTATTTGCTATGTTAGTATATGCATACACAAACATATAGATAGAATTTTTACCGTTCATATTACATTATTCGTTGGATAGAAATAAAGAGAGAATAAACTACGTATATGGTTCATCTGGATCCTCATCATAATTGGATATAGGTCTTGGTAATGATGGTGCCCGTTGCTATAAAGCAAAATTTAAAGCATTAAAAGAAAAAAATATCTATTTAATAATAGAACAGAAACATAAAAACGATGCCAGGTAAAATATAGAGGAAAAAGGATATGTAGGTCGGGGGGTAATCACTATCACAAATAAAACATTTACATCATTATTTCGAAATATATTCATTTATTTTCGTAGAATAATAATTATGACATATCATTACTATTTTTTGTTCATTATACATAAGCCATATACTTTACAAAATAACTGCATGCAAACATATACAAATAAGCAGAGCTAAAGACAAGTATATCAAGCAGAAGAAGCAATTATAACCTTATCACCAAGTGGTGTTAGTATTATGTTGCTCATTATTATTCTGATATAAAAATATATTTGAATAAAATAGATTGATAAAAATATATAAACTACACTCACATTAATTTCCTCAGATTTAATTAAACCAATAAGATACGCTTTTAATGAAACTAAACTTGCCATATTTCGTTCATCATTTATTTTTATATTCTCTTTTATCTAATATAGGGATTGAAAAAAAATAGAGAGTGATATTTGCAATATAATGACATGCATTGAAGTGCATGAGAGGAAAAGAAGAGTAAACAAAAAACGAGACATAATCAAATACCTCCTCAACTTCATTTTTTAAATTTTTCTATAGAATGAAATAATAACATAATAAATAAAATCAATTTTTAATAAAATCTATACATACATAATCAACATCATCCGGTGTTTTGGCTTTTACAATTGGTGGAGCAGCTATAGAACGTTGTGTAGGTACCAAATCTTTACGTAAACGATCCATATCATTTTTCCTAAAGAATCCAAATAATAAATAGGATATATAGATATATGTTTTACGTTTTAAAATGTTCATCTTGACAAAATTTCATACATTCTTGTCGAGTTGCTGATACTTTTTCATTAAGATTAAAAATCTATATTGAAATGAAGTTTACAAAACAAACTAAAACTTCGTTTATTAGTATTATTATACTTCTTGTGGTAATGTTTCTCGTAGATTCATAAGACGAACCATTTTTTGATCCACATCTCTTCTCCACATATCATTGTCAGTTTGCTTATCACGTATTTGATTTGATATTTGTTGTTCACTCTAAAAACAAAAAGAATCAATTTTGAATTTTTAATTCAAAATAAATGAAAACAAGCAAATCATCTAATATATATAACGATTAAAGCGAAACAATAAAAATTAATGAATTTTAATTTTAAAAATACTCTCATTTAAACTTACAGTAGCTATACGTTGTGCCATTTGTTCTTCAAGTAAATTCAAATCAACACGTAAACTATTAACACGTTGCTCGTGTTTAGCAAATGTTTGCGATGAAAGTTCATCATGTTGTTGAATAGCCTTTTGTATATCGTTACGCATCTGATACATAGATAAATATATATAGCATATATACGTAAGCAAAGCAGAAAAGGAAGGTATCAAACATAGAGCAGAAATACATGAAGCATACTTTATCATTAAAATCACGTTTAACAGAAGCAACATCATCCGTAGTCGGTAATGTAGAAACACGAGTTGTTAAATCACGAACCGCTTGTGCGCCTCCTTTGATTTTATCTTCATGTTGTTGAATACGTGCATCTGTAGCTGTATGATGTGTTGTTAAATCGGTGATATGAGTTGATATTGTTTGAATATTTCCTTCAGTTTCACGATGTGAATGTTCAATTGTATCAAGACGTTTATTTATATTAATTATTTCAGGTTTACTACTCTATAAAAATTCAAAAAACAAAGAGCTATTTAATAAAATTAAAAATTTTCTTTCATACTAAATCACGAAGATCTGTAATACGTGTATTTATATTATTAATCGATGAATGTATTGTACCAAATTGATAGTTTGCTTTTTCTTCTGTCTTTGTAATCATCTCAGTCATTTCTTTACTTTGTTGTTTACTAGAATAAAAATATATCTTACAATTTAGACATATTGTATATTTTAAAGTTGGGCTAACCGTGATTTTATTTCAGCATCAAGAACTTTTTCAATTTTTCGTCGATTTTCATCTGTTTGTTGTTCAATTAATGTAATACCATCATTTAATTTTCTCAATGATTCATTATTTTTTTTTGTTGTTTCCTAAAAAAAACAATGAAAACAAGGATAAATATCTGTATTTTCAATTTTATCTAAGATTAATCAAATTAGTAAATAAGAAATATTATAAAATCCAGGATTATTTTGATGAAACACACAATAGAATACCCTAATTTCATTATAGATTTTCGATTGTTCATCATGTGTAACAGTTTTCAACGCATCAACTTGTTGTTCTACGTCACCTTGAAGTGTTTGTAATTGTCGTTGACGCTGTTCATTTTCAATTTGATGATTCTGTTTGAATAAGTTTATATATATATTTTCTCAGATGAATAATTCTTTTTTTGAAAAAGTTAAAAACAAAATATTATAATGAATACCTTTTCGTTTTCTTTTGTTCTATATTCAAAATCATCACGTAAACGGTCTAATTTATCGGTGGTTCGTTGTACGGTTTGATTATTAATATCATTCATTTCTTGTCTTAATTTTATTTGTGTTTGCTCAATTTGATTAACACTTTCTCGACGCATATTTTCCATTGTTTTAACAATTTCTGTTTGAGTTGAACGGGTTGAATTTAACGAAGATTGAAGATCTGTTAATCTATTCAATACAGAAATATATTTATATAGAAAAAGAATTGAATTGTTTGTTTTTTTCCTAATACTTCGATGCTAATTGAGTTTCAACTAGACGACGATCTTCTCGTTCAAAATCTAAACGTGTTTTTATATCATTGAATGAATCTCGATATTCATTCATTCTAAATTAGATTAAATAAAGATTTATATTTGATTTCAAATATCAATACTTTTGTTCAGTTGCTGTTCGAAATCCATTAAAAAGAAGATCACCAGCATTAACTATTTCTTGTTGTTTGCGTATAAGCTCATTCTAAATAGAAAATTCTTAGAGGATGTATTCACGGTATACTCGAATGATGATTTCATAAAAAAACTACTTACTGCTAATCGTTGATCATCTTCTAATTTTCTTGTTTTTTGTTTAACTTCATTCGTTAATATATTTAAATTAGCTGATTCAAGTTCTAAACGACTGCGTATAGAACGAATTTCATCGCTAATATTTAATTGTGATTTTTCTAATTGTTCTCGTTGAACGTTCGTTTCATCGAGTTGTCTTCGAATTCCTTCGACACTGAATAAAATCAATTTATTTATATATATATATGGAAAATCAATATATATCATACCTAACAGATTGATGATCTCGTCGAAGAAAAGTATCTTTTTGAATTGATATAAGTTGTTGTTCAAGTCCTCGAAGACTTGCATTTGCTGTTAATGATGCTTGATGTTCATCATTATGTGTATATTCATTTCGTTTAATACGTGATGTTAATTGAAGAATAACATCATTTTGAATACGTATATTATTCTCTATTTGTTGACGAGACAAACGTTCTTCTTGAAGAACTGTTTGACTTTGACGTATCTAAATAATTAAGTATTCATAAGTATTTTAATAATTAATTTCAACAAACAAATTTACAGCATTAAATAATTCAGTTTGTAAACGAATAATTTCTTCAAGTAAAGCACGATTAGAGATTTCAGTCATTTGTACACGACTTTCTAATTGTTTTACTTTATATAAAGATTGATTTAGCGAATCATCAAATCTTAAGATGAATATATATATAGAATAGAATTTAATTATAGATAAAAAATTAATTACATCTGTGGTTGAAGACCAGTTCGTAAAGGAAATAATGGTGGATTTGGTATCGATTGAATATTAATGGGCGGTAACATTGTTGGAGGAAAACGTGAATCAACAGGTATAAGTTGTGCTGTTGCTGGTGTTGGGATATTAGATGGCTGAGGTCTAAATTAAAATCGAGAAAAACTTGTATAATTAGATAAATATAATATCTCTTACGATCGAGGCAATTCAGGTAATAAGGGACCTCCTCCTCCTCCTCCTAGAAATCGCCGTTGTGTATCCATTAATTTATTAATTATCTAAATTAAAAGAGATTTTTTTATCACTTGCATATTACTAAATATAGTATACAAGATCACTTACGATCGAACCACTTCAGATATAGGGGCTCTTGACACTAACGATGATGTTATAGAGAATTAGTCCTTGTGCAACGATTTCATGGTCTGAATGAAAAGCGTTGCTGGGAGTCGACCTCTTTGTCTTCCCCTTAGTAACACATAAATATTTTTTTATCGGTGAATGAAAGGAGAGTAACTACACCTTGAACCAATCAATCGTGTGATGATTCATTAGAAAATGGATTTCAGAACACAGAAAAAAAAACTCAATTAAAGCAATAAGAATTCTTCTTAAATAATTTATTATTTGATAAAGAGAAAATAATGCTAATACTATTGTTATTAATAAATAGACAAAAAAAATCTATACCAATTTCTTGATTTTATGCTTTTGCTGACATAATCTATACATTATAATATAATTTTTAAGACAGATGGATTTTCCACTGATGATGATAAGAGAAATAAAATTGTGTTTTTAACATATACTAATTTTCATAAAAAAAATATCCTGTAGATAACAAGAAGAACAAAAACAATGTTTTTTCTTGTTTGTAAATTTGTCATGCAAGTTAATTCTTGAAAATAGGATTATTCTATATTGCATTGAATTTATATTCTTTCTATCATTCTAATTCTCAAACTTATGCATTAAGAAAATGCTAATAACTGTTCGTTGTTATGTATAGTATTATTATATCTTGAAAAAATATACAGAAGTTGATTTTGCTTATCTTTCTTTGCTATATAATCGTATTAAAATATTTCACTTGTCAAAAAACGAATTAAAACAATTTCATCGTCTGTACAAAAAGACATGTTAATCATATTGTTTTTATTTATGCACTCCGTGTCAGATATATTATCACAAATGTATAATAAGATAAAACTATTCATCTCATCAATGTTTTTTAAAGAGAAATGTTTAAAAAAAAATTATTTATTTTTATGACATATTATATAGTTTCGATTTTTTATGAAGTGTTAGGTTTAGAAATTTCTTCATTACGGACATTAGTTTGTAATTACTTCATCATAGAGTTACTTGCGCTTTCTATGGAGAACAGAACGGAAGAAAAAGAAAGAAAAAGATACTTTGCCAGGGATGGGGATCGAACCCATGCTCACTATTGTGAATTGGATCTTAAGTCCAACGCCTTAACCACTCGGCCACCCTGGCACGACCTTCTATGTTATAAATAACAAACATAATCTGTTACAAAATATTTCTTTGTTCAACAAAACGACGATCTTATATATTATCCGAAGTAGTTTCAAAATGAATTTTATTACAATCTGGTACATGATTTCAACATATAAAATAATAAACAAGATTCACTGGTTAATAAAAAATTCATGCATAAAAATAGAACATGTTATCGATTTCCTTGGCTTATTTCTCTAGAGATAAAAATAATATTAATGAAGCATGTTATCATTTATTAAACTATCTTATACATATATTCATGTATCACCCAGGCGAAATTACACCACTGCGTATTTGTTATTATACGTAATATTTAAATAATGTTTAAATGTAAGTAAAAGGAAACTTAAAACAAGATGATGATTCATTTCTATTCAATCTATATAAAATGCATTGTTTTAATCAATTCAACTTTTGAACAAGCCAGTCATGTTTTTGCTTGAAAAATAACAGCTTGAACTACAATTAGTTGTTTTTATTGTTGATGATATATTACTTTTTCTTGTTGTTAAGTGGAAAAGAAAAAGCTTTTAAAATAATATATTTACTGAGAGAAAAAGAAAAGTTTTTCCCGTATTTTATTTTTTTAATTTATTTTTTCTTCTTCTAAAAAATGGAATATATAATAAAAGGAAATGGAAAATAAGAGCATACTTCATTTTAAAAAATGAAGCCTATAGTGTATGCATATCTTTTACTCGTTTGCTTTACTGCCAGTATTTTCTGTGGAAATTACACATATTATGGAGGTATAATAAAATACAATATCTTTTATATATTCTCTATAAATGAATTTTTTATGTTCGAATAGGTTTTGCATATAATACCAATACTGGAACAGTAACAAATCAAACAATGAGCACCTGTGTCTGTCAATGTTTATTAACAAGTGGATGTTCTGGATTCACTTTTTTCAATTCAAGTCGTACATGTGCCCTTCTTGCAGACCTAAATATCACTGAAGATGAAGTTAATTTAAATACCGATGCAACATTATTACTCGTCTCTGCTAATCTTGTTTATTCTTAATAAAAAAGAAAAGAAATATGGTAAAAAACATTAACAAATAATGGTTTATTTCAGTTGCTGTTGTTTCCTATTTTCTTCTAAATAAAATTTTAATCATTATTGTCTTTTTTTTTAATGAAAAAATGATAATAGGAGGTAATAAAACAACCGGCATTCAGGTGTTATGAAGAAATTAATATATTCATAATGTTAGTTAATTGAGTGCATATATATATGAGTAAAAAGAAGTTCTCAGTTCAGTTTGATCTTCATATACAATAACTGTCGAATATAATAGAAGGAAAAAGCAAGACAGATTTATGATGAAGTTAGATTATTCATGTCACGTCTTGTCACATAGATTTGCACACAAAAATAATCTGAAAACTATCTATTAGCCAGCGGGAATTGTTTATGTATAGATAAATATCTCAAATCATTGCACTGAACTAATAGCTAAATACCAAAACAACTTCTTTTTCTTTTCATTAGAATAATATGTTCGTCATTTTTTTTCAAACCAATAATCTATATCGTAAAAAAATGCGTCCTCTTTATTCGTTATACGTTCGAGGTATATACAAAAAAAAAAAAACAAACAAACAAATAAATCAATAATGTATTTTTTTCTTTTTCTTTCACTTTATTGTAAATGTTGGATAGAATTTAACAACCGTTGGCGTTGGTCCATTTGTTAATAATTCAATTTTTAATGGAGTTTTTTTAAATGATAAATCCGATGTTAGTTGATGTTGACTTGTACCAGTTGCAGCTGCATGAAATGTTGATAAAAGTGGATTACCTTTGATTCCACTACTACTAGCTGTACTACTATTTTCACGTTTTGAAAATTTTCTATGATGATCTATATGATGTGAATGTTGATAATATTGAACAACAGGATTATCTCCACCAATACCAGCATTTCGTGCAATAATTAAACCATTTGATAAGAAAATATTCGTTTGTTTTGATCGACCAAAATGTTTTATTAAATCCATAAGACATGAACGAAAATTTTTTCCACATAATGAATAAAGAAAAAAATTTATTGAAAAATTTGTATAAAATAAATAAAATGTTAACATTTCAATAATTGATTCGTATGAAGATTTTTCATCATATGTATCATCATTTGAAAAGAAAAAATAATAAACTTTTAATAGATGCATTGGAGTATTTAATAATAAAAATGTTGTTGAAATAATCAATAACATTTTTGTTATACGTCGATGATATTTTGAACGTCGTAAACGATGTTCTAATAAATTATGTAAGATATATGTTGAAGGTTGAACATAATTACGTTCTAATAAACGATCATATTGACCTGATTTAAGTATAATTAATGAATTAAATGTAACAATAGTTAAAAAAGGAATGATAAATGTTAGAAAAAAATCTATTATATTCATTTGACGAGTAAAACGTAGCCAAGGACGTAATGTAACACAACGTGTTTCATATGGAGGTAATGTTGATCGTTCTGAATTCGTTATTTCAATACCCGATGTCCATAATGCTGGAGAATAAAGTAATAAAGCTAGTAATGTCAATAGAACAACGGCATAACGAGCACGTGTTGATGAATTATATTGTGAACGTTTTAATGGATAAGCAACAACAACAAAACGTTCAGTAGTAAATGCAACAGTAAACCTCAAATAGCAAAAAATAATAAAGATTATATGTACTTAAAAATCTATTTATAATAAAAATTTCTAAGCATTAATTACATATCTGTCTCAGTATATTTCATTAAATATCGTCATTATATTGTTTATTCCTTGATTCATAGACTATATTATTCTTCATAATCTCTATATATTACCTTGAATATATATCAAGGCTCAAAAACAAGAAAAACCTAATAGATATTTATTATAGCTATTAACCATCAAAATCTAACCACATGATATATTTCGTTTAACTATAATTCATATTAACGAAATCTTCTTATACTTTTTAGAACTAAAAGCGGAGTCACATAGTGTAAAAGGAATGTCTGATATAATTATATGTATGTTATCTCTATAAGTAAGCTTATGATATATTGTCATCGTTATTTTAAATGCAGAAGAAACTCATCAATCTCTTTAAAAAAACAATTGTTTTTGTTAGCTTCATTGTTTTATGGAAAAAATATGAAGATACACACAATCCATCAATTTAGACTGATTATACTAATAAAAAGGAAAACATAATAATGTATTCAGGCATGTTTTTTTGACTTATGCTAAATTTATTGAAAAAGAACTTACCATACTGATAACGAACTAAAAACTGTCGTTAAATATACAGTGAATTGACAAATTCCATTATTATGAAATATAAAAACATGTATATTTTCAAGCCAAATAAGTCCCAAACATAGTAGATAACCATTGTCAGATATAGAAAGAGCAGTTAAATATAAACTACAACTTAAACGTCTAAATGATATTAAGAGAAAAAAACAAATTAATTCAGTTTTTTTCTTCATTGTCTATCAGTATTATTTTTCTCATACCTTAATTTACTTCGAACAAAAACATAACATGATATAGAATTACCAATAAAACCAAAAATGATAACAATTGCCATATAAACAACACCGAAACGTTTAAGTAAATGTTGAAAATATTTAATTGAATTTCCATTTGAATCGATATTCTGCATAGCTATCGTAGCTACTGATATAACAGATGAATCAGTATAGATGGTTGCATTTAGTCTTGGCATTTTTATCTAAAGAATAAGAATCAACATGAATTTTGGAATAATAACTATTCTTTTTTTTTCATTAGAAAGGATGAAAAAATAGTTTAAAAAGAGAGATCACAAAGTCCATAGATATTTATAATAATAATAAGAAAAAAACAACAGACTATTTCTAAATTTATCGGATTATAACAAACAGTGTGGGTAGAAAGGACATGATTACTAATAGCTAACAGTGTGCATCTATCATGTTACTATATGTTCAATGGGATGCAAAAAAAGAGAAAAGAGAAAACTTACATATTCATCGTAGTGATGGCATAACTTATTCAGAAAAAGTAAGCAGGAGGATATTCCTAACAGCTAGATTCGTAAACAAAAGTATATATAATTGTTCTAGTTGGTTAATCAATAGAACAAAAGAATACAAAAGAAGTCGTTACTTTTAGACTTATAAAAACCTTCGATATGTCATCGAACTATTCATTTTACTTAGTTCGATTATTAATCTATGTCTGATTATTTCTTAGATCTTATCAGTCTATTCTAATATAAATAAAAAAAAGAAGAAGAAAAGAAAAGAAGTGTATGCTTAAATACTTGTTGAATCAATTATATAAGAATCATAAGAAAACTCTCATGTGTCTATTTACTACTCATTATATTTGTTCGTTCTCATCATCACATTTATTACTAGTGTTATTACTAAAGGATACAATATCGTTTAAACGAGATTTTCTTCTCCTCCTTTGCTGTTCTTTCTCTTTACACTTAATGCATTCTTATGAACTTTATCGTGTACTCTGCATGCATTTTATATTATTAATCTGAATGGGATTCTTTAATGAACACAACAATACCTGATTCATGTGATGTACCTTAATAGGAAAATGACAAATATACATAAATAAATTTCAAGAATATTTGTTTTAGACCTTATTAGCTAGTCCTTCATTGTCTTTATTCTCATTACCTTCTAACTAATTTATGTCATTTTAATTCTTATAAAAAAAAACTAAACATAATGAAAAACAACGTCTTATTGACTTCAATTCATTCTTTGAATATTATTAATATTTTTCTCTATTATACATACATATATTTCGTACTTGTACGGGATTCATTGTTAAAGGAAGAAGACAAGGACATCATTTACTTTTCGAATATTTTATTTTTAATGAACCTCAAAAATAATTGACAAGAAAAGTAGAAGAAGAAGTAATATTTATGCGACTAGATTTTATGAATAGATATATATGTTCGGTTGCATGCAGATAGTGCACCTAAAGCATTAGATTACCTGTCGTTGTCAAAAATTGTCTGTTTGCTTCAGGCGATATACGAGATAGATAAACATAATCTAGTGTAGCAATGACAAGCACACAGCAACTTCGAACATATGCGCATGCACTTATCATAAAAATGGATAATCGATATACTACTAGATGTAGTGTTGCCATTTATTTGTGCATTTAATATATCTTTTTGAACGACTGTCATGACCATGAAAATTGATATTATGAACATGTCTTATTTACAAAAGATATGGGCGACATAGAAATGATATACAACAGCAATAGTAGGAGGAGGAGTAGCACTAGTAGTAGTAGTATTATTATTAATAATAGTGATAGTAAGAAGTAGAAGTAGAAATAGTGAAGCTTTTAGTGTCAAATGAGAAAAAAGTATAGGCACTACTATCATCATAGAATCAAATCAAGGCCTTGACTAATTGAGACATACACATACATCATAGGCTAAGGCCGTCGATACCACACACGTCGACCAGTCTTTTTAGAAGAAGTTCACTTTCTCTTCTTTTCTCTTATATTCAACCTTCGCTTGTCGGCTTTGATTACACGACAGCATCAGAATGAAATACAGACAACTACTGTAGAATACTATAATGGACAGACAAGTATAAGGTGGAGTAGATATTGTAATCTCCACCTTATTATAATCTATATCAATCTACACGACTACTATTTCGATTAAATATAATGAGTGTATGTTTCGCATGAATTGAAAGTGAACATTCATTGATGTTTGATAAAAAAAAACATATCAGATTGTTTTTTATTGAAGGCTTGAAATATTCGTGTTTGAATAATGTTTCATAACACGTTTTTTTGATATGTTAACTTTGAAAAAAATCGTTTTTACTCTAATGATTGTTCAATAGATTATATCACTTTAACTTAAGAGATACAAGACACATGTATGATTGAACTATTAATAGAGCGAATAATATAGTGTCATATTGAGATTTGATCATATCTTAGATAAAAAGCAACATAATTTTTTTTAATGAAAATACACAATGATGGACATATACTACTCTTATACATTGGTTAAGAAGACTTTTTTTTTCAATACATTCATCTATAGTTACGAAATAAGAGATAGATTAGGTATGTGAATGCCAAAATATGAGCAAAGAACAAACATATAGTAGGCGTATAAGTACTTGAAACAATTGACGCTAATGAACGTCAATCACAAATCTATTATAGGAAAACTTGCATTATTAATATGTCAACGCCATACAATCGAATGATCTTATTGTGTGCATGTATACAGGAAAGAGAATATATATATCTTCTATAAACGAATCAACGTCATACATCACAAATCCATATGTATGGATGTTAACATCAATATTGATAAAAATCTCTTGACAAAAACATCTTAATTTAATTTTCGTTATCTCATTGTACTCTCATAACTTCATGAACTTATAATTGACTATATTCATTAACTTCTCAATCAAGAATAAAAAGAATTGTATAGGATATCTAACATTGAATATATATATATATACAATTATCTATGAATTTTTCCCTCATAGTACTGATATATCAATGACTTTCTCAATTGTAAGCTTAATACATGAAACTTTTCATATAATCTATACACAGATGACATTTAGTTTTAAGTACAATCCTTCTTCTTTCTTTTTTATTAAAAACAAAAAATAAAATTGCATTATTTATGCTTTTAATTTGTTATTAAAAGTAAGTTCTTTATACTTCGTATAAGAAATGTAAAAGTATGATGAGTTCAATTTTATATTACTTTTTGATTTAGTATCAATATTTTATTACTTTATTGCAATTATTCTTTTGTAATAAATTGAAAATAAAGAACTTTCTTTTATGAACTGTTTCTTTCACTCTCTGATCAATAATTTATAACAACACTTATCATTTTTTTACTCAATGCCGCTTATATTTCGACTCGGAATATTATCATTGAATAAGAACAGTAATATCAATCAGTGAAATATATTCAACAGATATATTATTAGCTACTACTAACTAATCTTACTATTAAGGAATTATTAAGAAAAATTTACGTTCAAATTATTTGCTATTACAACTGAATAAATGATAAAAAGCAGCTTCAATGAATATTAATATTAGAAGATATTATCAGCAAGTCAAGTGTTTGTACTAATGCTTTGATTAAATAAAGATCAATCATATCTAGACCAATGACTAATACAATCGAGTTAGTTAATAAGTAATTCTAAGAACGAGTATTTAAAAACAGATTCCTATGATTTTCATCTCTTCTAAAATTGAACTTACATATTATTATGATTTCTAACTGAAACTTTTCCTATAAATAGATTTATATCACTTAACAGATAGAATCGAAAACTTCTCTTTTGTTTAGACAAATAGATAAATAATAATATAAACATACGTTTTAATTGTTGTTGAAAAAAGAGTTTTATAAAATAAAAATCGTCAGAAACTATTTGAATAAAAATATAAAATAGTGTCGAACGGTATTTATTAATAATACTAGTAATACATATTTCGATTTTGTTATTTATAGTAGATTATAGATCGTATCCATAATGGTCGTATGTCATAAAAGACTAAAAACAACACTCTATCATAATTAACATCAAGATACTATTTTATCAATATCAAAACAAAAACTCATCGTGTATGTTTACTTCCACTATACGTTGAAAGAATGATGGAAATGACATGATAACTTCCTCTCCTCCTTCTCTATTACACCCTACTATCAATAGTACTATCCATGTATCGGATATTACCCTTATCAACAATTGATTTTTATGACACTAATTTTTCATTTGAAAATAGATTATAGATAAAAACAAAAACACTTCTGCTTCTTTTTCTTCTAACAAGATAATTGTCCGATAGAAAAAATAATATCTATATATATATATACGAAATTTGGTCATTTACAAGTAAATTTATTATCATTAATTTTTTTTATGAACTTTTTTTTAATTTTAATCTATTACAAAAAAGAAAGAAGAAGTAAACAAATAAGCAAACAAGCAAACGAAAGCATAGAAAAGATTGAAAGTCGACTGAATTTCATTTTTTTTTGTATCATTATGATCAACTCATCGTAAATGGAAAGCAAGTTATTCAACAAGTAACACAACTGTACATAATAAAAAAAAAACAAACACAAATAATTGAAAAAATCACAATGGTACTTCTTCGAATAAAGAAAATGGTTTTCGACGATATTCAAGAATTGATTCAAGCACCCAATCAGATGATACAAAATGTATTCCTAATGAACGACATTGATCATAATTATTACGTCTTTCAGAAACATATAACATATCACATAGAACAATAATTTGATATTTATCAAGTAAACGTTGTGTTACACATGTTATTATTTGACCACCACATGTTGTTATTAAATCTTCTAAACGTTCATTTGTCATTTGTATATCAGAATTTTCTGTACATTTTATCATAAAACAAATATTTTGAAAAAGTGAATGACGTTTTGATATTAAACGTGAACGATGCGGACCACCATGTGGATGAACATCCGTATCATCACCTTCAATTTCATAAGGTGATTCATCCATAAGTCGATCACATTTAACAGAATCTTGAATCCAACGGTATGATACACAATAGCAATGATGTGCAATAGCTTCAATTAATTTCATTGATAATGGTGAACGTAATGGATTATGTTCATCATTTGTTATTAAATGTGTTGTTCGAGAATCAATGGATGTTGTTTGACAAGCTGATGGAAATTTTTCTAAGAATTTATCAACAAATTCCTAAAAGAATAAATGTAAAATTCGTTTTTTGTTTTAAATAAATAAATAGAAAATCATACTATTTGATAAGCTTCAAGACATGTAACAGCAATAACAATTGGCCGGTTAGGATCAGTCTAAATAATTTAAAATAATGCATTTGTACATCACAATAAAAAATGAGTACATACGCGAAACAGAATTGGCACATCATCGGTATCCATTTCAGCGATTGTAATTGTTGCTGGTGTAATAACATTTCTTAGACTTGATTCATCGGTTAATGTAGAATTTTCTTTTGATAAAGAAAATTCATCATTTGATTTATTAGAAATAGATTTTTTTTGACCGGAATTATTGTTTATTTCATTTAAAGCTGCTAAGATTTGTTGTTCAGGATGAGCAAGTCTTTTATGTTTCTAAGAAAAAAAAAAAAGATTTTTTATTATAATTCCATTAGAGTATAGCTTGAATCAGTCAGGGTTTTATCAATATAAATAATCGAATTATCTCGTTAATGATTTATATCTGTTGTTTAATTATTACAACAACATAAGATGTTTCTCTCTCATTTTTCTTAACAAACAACA